GGGATTTCTCTTTCTCAGCTAGTTTATTTGTGAGGTGGTGAGGTTAATGTGGCAATATCCCATGCTTAGTAGAGAGGCTTTTTGGCTTTAAGCATTGTGTGTGCTCCCTTCAGATTTATGATTTTGACCCCAGCCTGGCATTATCACACTGTCAGTGGGAGTGCAGGACTGGTTTGAACCTCCAGCTCTTGGTGGTAATCTCTCTTAATTAGTTTACAGTTGAAACAATTGTCCCTCTTTTTGCCTTTAAACAAGGGAAGTTTGCTCTATCAGTGGTTGATTCCCTGAGGGAGGAAATCCTGAGAGGGGTTATCAGGCAGAGAAAAGCTCCGGGCTCCACTTTCAAAGCACTGCCATGTATGAAGCATGCATCAATCCTGTTAGTACTGCTTATTATTTCACAATGGCGTGTCAGGAATTACGGGCACAGACCTTTCTAAGGACTCTTGCAGACCTTTATGCACTCTCATCCCAAGTCAGGATTTTGTGGAATTATGTGCTAATAAAAGCTAATTTTACACATTAAATTGCATTCTTTGAAACTGCTCTTTTAATTGCTGATCTTTCCCTGACTTCTCCACAGATCTCTGAGCCTCCTCATTCTCGACTTTCTGCCAGGGAGCCCTCCATGTCTCGTCATTAGGGCTAAAATCTGCCATCACTTAACATAACACACAGGGCTTACAACTGGGAGCAGCCCCCTCCCTTGCATGGGAGCACAGACAATAATAGACACTATAGTGGCAGCGCCAATGGGAGTTTTACCATGTATTTTAATGACTTGTGCTTGATTACATTTGCTAGATTGAACCGAAGTTCATTTAGTAATTGGTATGATTCTTAGAGGGTTCACATTTGACATTCCTCACTCATTAAAGAGCTCCAACAATAGCTGTTACAACTTTCATCTCAACGGTGACCCTCTCAGATACATATCCAGTCTTTTTCTTTTGATAAACCACCCATCCCTGCATTCATTAACACTTAACCATCTGCAGCCAGCCCCTCCTAGTACCTTCTCCCTTGCTTTGATGATATAATTAAAAGCCTCCTGTATTATCTCCCTCAGAGCGATAAGTTTAGGTGCGTCAGCTCTCAGCACATGCATTGTTTGTTATTAGATTCTGTCTGTATCAGCTGTTCCTAGTGACAGGCTCATTTTTCATATGTTGTAAAGATTAGCTGATGGAGTGGGAGATCAGAGGCATGAGAAGGGAGTGTGGCTTTCAATATTAGTAACCAGATGCTCATTTGAAATGGTGATGGAATTTGCCGTTATCTGTTAGATTATTTGATTCCTTTGCTTGTACCTGAAGATAAACTGGTTTAAGCATCAAGTCAATGAAAATTAGCATCATCTTTAGTGGCTTGTTATGATAGAGTGCTCTTATCAGCCTGGTTTAGTTTGGCTGTTCTCTCTTCCACTCTGGTTTACAGAAATCGCAGCTTTGTTTATGCATGTGCCCAAACTTGCCTGTTTGACCTTTGAAGCTGTGATTATAATATTAATCTATGGGACTATTCTGTTGCAAATCACTTAGGTGGTCTGTGCTTCAGAGGATTTCATTGTGGGACCTCCCTCTTGTCCAGCATGATGTTCCATTATTGTTAGTATATTCTACATTGAAAGCTAACTCAGGGTGGTGTTTCAGTACATCTTGTTGTCTGGCTGGGTTTTGTGGGGGGTTTTTGTGTGTGATGGAGCTGCAGCGAGGATAGCACTGTGCTACTGTCTATCCACTTGCACTGATTTTGTATAACTCTTATAAAGTTGCTTAGCTACAGAAAAACTTGGTACAATACTTGCATGCAGATACAAACTTCAGCCTTCAAATCCTCAGTGTCCTGTGGTGTAGCTAAATAGCATTATTCCAGTGCGCAGGTGGGGAGACTGGATGTGTGAAAGCCACACAGACACTGGCAACAGAACCAGAATTTATTGAGGAGTTCTTGTTTTACGCTCTTCTGCTTGATATCTGCCCCTTGCAGCCTCCCCCTGCCTTAAGGGGTGTTGCAGTAGGTCTTGGATAGGGTGAGAAGAACCTGGCCTTCTGGCACTAAATAATCTGTGTACTGATTGTCATCTTCAAGTTAAGAATTGGAGTTTTTCCTCCTATTTTCCCCTTTCCTTCCCATGTTGCATCCATTTTTTTTACATATTTCTTGCTTTATTCCATTGTTTTGTTTATTTTCCCAGCTTGTCTCCCTGCTCCATTTCTTTCCATTTGTCTCTTTCACCCATTTCAATAAACTATTATATTCGTTATATAAATACAAGGGAGCTCTTTTCCTCAGAGAAGGTATAAAAATTCTCCCCCTCATAAATACACAAAATGTGGAAACCATCCTCAGGAGGCAGAGCAGGAGGGAGTCTGCTGACTTCCAACTGCAAGACCTCATTAAAATTAGTGGATTCCCTAACCTTTTTGCATAAGGAACATTGCTATTTGGGCTGACTTCCACGGCAACATCTGGGCCACTGATAGCATCAGTACTGGAGCACTGCTAGGTGAGCTCATGTTTTGTTAATGAAGTAATCTACTGAAAGTGCATAGATCATTTTTTAGTACCACATACTTTTCTGCAAAGTGTCGAAGTACTATTATAGGAGCTTTCCTTTGCACGTGGGACTTCAGGAATTCGTTATAGTTAATAATATGCTTAGCTTAAATTGAATGGTATGCTTGAAAAATGCTACTTCAATTATAAAATTTTAAGATTAAATCGGTAGTTGAGTGCATTGATTGAGAAATTCAGTGAAAAATGGCTTACTAGAACACCTGATCTTCTTGGTAGCTCCGGTATTGCTGAATATTCAGTGTGCTGTTGGTTTACTATAGATAGATGCATGCCCAAGTAGTGAGTGATCCCTCTGCTGAGTTAACTAAATAATAACAGTGATGATGGCAAACATCTGACTTCAGCGTGTTCTGGAATAAGCAAACAAAGGTAGGATGGAATGTGCTGGTATGATATGTTCATTCAAACTTCATTATGAAATCAGGCATCAAAGGAGGGAAAATGAAAACTGAGACCATTTCACGTGTGGATTGAAATTTCTCTCCTTAATAGCCTCTGGATGTGAGTGCAGGTACAGCCCAGTGTAGTCCCTGACTGTTCTGTTTTGTTTTTTCTAATATGCAAGTTAAGTATTCTTGTAGCTTTTCTGTCCTGAGAATTAGTGGTGAGCGTTCACACAGCCAGAACACACTCAAATGAGGCTACAGGTGTGTGGAAGGGAAAGTAATATTGGCATAAAATATCTAGCTGCTTTGAGACAGGTTCCAAAAAAGGGTTCCACTATCTTAAGAGCAGAGAATCCATAAAGAGAATAGAAGTAATTGATGAGTCTTTGTGATATACAACTTGGTTCTTAAAGTATTGAAGCTATTGGAGATCTCTGAGTTTCTGAAATATTAACCTGCCACTGGTCTGAAAGCAAAGACTTCCCTGTTTGCCATTGTTTGGCTAACGATGAGTGGGAGCTTTTCTGATCTTTTCCACCCCACGGGGCTGGATAGGCAAATGCTTTGTAGTTGAGCTGTGGCAGTCATTTGTAATGTGTACTGTAGGAGAGGTGAGCAGACCCTATCTCCTTCCCGTATTCCCCTCCAGGAAGTGTTGGAAAAAATACAGGAGTGTTGTGTTTGCTAGCAGAACAAGCACAGCCTTGCATATTAAAGGCAGGCACTTAGCCAGAAGCTTTGAATTATTGTACCCTGACATTACCCACTGTAACTTTTAGCACTCTGGGCCCATTACTTTGGCTTCCTGCCCAGTAATGTGCAATTTCCACTTACATGAGAAGATGTAGCAGAAGTAATGACTCCTTGGAGGAGGTGTTTTCTTTCGCAGCAGATCAGCCCAGGGCCAGCAGGTGTAAGTTTATAGACACAGTCCAATAATGGCAGCCTGCACTGTTCTCCTCTATTAATCCAGCAGTAGATGAAAAGGAATCTGCCTTTGCACACTTTTCACTATCCACTGACCTAAGTGCAAAGTCAAGCTCTTGTAAATGGCCATGCAAAGCTCCATGATTTTCCTTTTTTCTTTTCCAGGCACCCCAGGATGCATATCAGAACAGGGCTGATGGATGCCCATCTCTACTGTCTGAAGAAATATGTGGTAGACTTCCTTGTAGAAAACAGGTAAAAACCCGCAAACAATACGCAAGGTAGTAGAAGGTGTTTGCGTTGACCTATGCTTCGTACCAGAGCTTTTAAAGGAAGATTTGTTTCATTAAACTGGCTAGCATAAAATAGAAATGTAAAAGAAACCAGTGTCCAAAATGCTTTAACTGCACTAAAAGGAATGCCAAGCATTATGTATGAGATTCTTATTCAGACCTTCTTTTAAAAGAAAATATCTAATGGTGTAAGTGAAATTTTTGCCTCTTTTCTGCATCCCTCCTTTTCCTAATGTATCTGTGCTTTTTGGCTGCTCGTTTCACCAGGGCTCCCCCATTGTTAGGGCTGTGAATACATTTCTGACCTTTGATTTCCCCCACCACAGTCTGTTTTGGCCTTTGCAATCACCTCTTCTCTCCCCCTTCACATCCACCACCACTGCAGGTGGGCTATCTCCGTAGCATCCTATGTTTTTAGCTTGTGATGTTCCTCTGTCAAAACTCTGAGACCACCCACCGAGAGTAAGAAAAACATCCATTTATGGAAGTGGAGAAGGATCTTAGCTATAATATTTCATGAAACAAATGAAAAAAAACCCCTGTTTATCTTTAAAAAACAAACAAATGAACAACCCCCGTCACAGTAAGTAGTTCAGTTTTGGAATGATGTCCTGTTCCTAGACTTTTTGCAGCACTGTCATGCCCATTGCATATTCTGACTGCTCACTGGGTTCCCAAGAGTTTTTCTCTCCTTTTAAGATGAAAGATAAAGAGGCTACGTGTTGTGTTCATAGTGCTTTTCCTTAGCAGATAAATTGACACGTGAAAAAACATTGAGGAGGGGAGATCTGTGTTAGTCTCCACCATATACAAATATGGTGATGCAGTTGGAGAAATGATTAAAGGAGCTCTTCCAGAATGAAGTTCTGTGAGTGAGTTAAAATATAGTGGAAAATCTGTGCTAATCCCCAGTGCAGTTTCTTACCATGCATAAGAATAAAGCTTATCTGATACTTTGACTGGCACATGGGGACATAATACAAGACATTTTAGTTCCCATTTGTGTATGGGAACGTGTATGAAAGGTGAGAAAGCTTCAGGAGCAGCAGATGCTTTAAATCTGGAATAAACCATTTGTTCAGCGTATTTTAGAAAGTCAATGACAGTTGGACTTCCTGTGTTTCCTGTGGTAGCATGAGACAGTGTTTACACGTTTCTTTTGTCATAATACAAGATGGACTCATTTCATGAAATCCTAGCTGTCTAGTTTTGCTGGGATTAGACATTTCTGGAATATTAGACTTTTCACATATCCAGTTATTTTTCCCTGGTATTTCGTGCTGGTTTGAATTTAGATCATTAGGTCTGTGGGACAAGGACAGTGTTTGTCAGACAGGCAGCAGCGTGTGACACAATGGGCCTCTAAGCGTAGGTAGTGGTATCTTCAGATTTTAAGGCTTTATGCTATTTCCATTGAAACTGCTGGTATCGTTGGCTTTGCCAGTAGTGGATTTCACCTTGTGTTAACCAAAGTCAGCAGAGTGAAGTCCTGCTCTGAACAGTTGCCCCCAGGTCCCCTTAGAACAAATCTACTGACCTTTTGCTAGGATAACCAGTCGGTTTTCTTGTTTTCTATAGAGAGGTCATTCTCTGTCTTCACTATTTCTCAAAGCAGGGCTTCTTTTCTGTGGCACTTCATGACAAATACATAATTACAGCAGCTAGACAGCATTTCTTAAGACCTGAAAGCAACATCTGGGTTACCAATGGCAAGTAGCTTCTCCGTTCTCCTTATTACACACATGCTGCTTATTGAGTCAATTGAGAGAGAGTCAATTGCAAGTAATGTGCTTAACTGGCAAATCTGAGGAATGGGACTTTTGCCATGAGGAATAACTTGGGCTTTCAGGCTTCTGGCATCAGTGGGCATTTGCAGCTTGTTTTTCTTCCCTGAGGAAGGGGAGGACAGTGCATATCCAAAGATCTTTCCATGTTTGGCAGCAATATGCCAGGACTTTTGAAAAACCCTGTGGAATATTTTTGCCTCAAAAGTACTGACATCTACATGATTGTTTGGGTTTAAGGATTCTTTTTAATACTTTCTTTTTTAGTCTAGAGAGAACCTATGGTAAGATTTTGCCTCTCTGCAGTTCCGCACCAGAACTGGAGAAGCTCAGATGCCTTGTTTAAGTTGTGCGTGTTTAAAACTAACAGCAGGGATTGAAGCGAACAGTGAAGCTCTTGTGCAGTGCCAGGAAGTACTGACACAGTGTACTTCCTCCATATTACAATATTTACATTGTGTTAATATTTTAACAGCGGGGTTTGATGGCAGGCAGAACACCTTCTTTCATTGTTTGTAGCTCAGTGAAGCATTTACATTTTTTTTCAGATTTTATTTTGACATTCCAAAGCAGAAAAGATGTTGCCCAGCAGTAAAAAATTCAGATCCAACTACTGGCAACGGCTCACTCTTTTGCAGAGGAAAATTATGATTATTTTTCAGGTCAAAGAATTACATGAAAACTAATGTGATTACGTTGCTTCAGATGGGATAAAAGCCCAGTGTAGTCCCTGCTTAGCTGCAAAGATGTGGCAAGAACAAGCTCTTCCCAAGTGAGGGTAGTTTGTAGCTGCACCTGTAAGGGTGAATGACATTGCTCCGCTTCCATATATGCGTTGTAGGTAAAGTCCAAAGTCACTAGCAACTAATACGAAAACAGGGAAAAGAGAATGTGAAATTGCTACAGCTTTGTTTTATCTAAGTGTATGAATCTTGCTTTAGGATTTGGGACACCTTTTGTTATATGGCACATCTGAAAAAAAAGCTGAATTTGTTGTTCAGCTTCGGAATGAAGTCGTGATACCAGTGTTTTAAAACCAAGCTTTTATCATCAGCCCAGCCACTGTCTTGCTTTGTGGTACTAGACAGGTCCCTTAATTTTTCAATGCACTTGTTTCCTTTTTGGCAGCAGTAAGATTCCAATATGGGGGATATTAGGAAAGGTCAAAATACTGTTTGGTAGTCTGTAACTGAGTTCGTAGTTCTTTAATACATTTTAATGAACTAATTTAAAAGGACTGAATAGTAGATTCTCCTGTCTGAAGTTTTATTGCACTGTAGCAAACCAAATAAATTACTGAGTTTTAAAAAGCAGAGATTGCTAGTGCCTTTGCATAAGTCAGAGGAAATGGTCTGCTTATGAGACACCCCCCCCCCAAATATGTATGTCCAGACAAAAATAAAAAATATCACACCTCTAATGTAGTGTAAACTTGGGGAATTTATTTTGGGGGGAATGAAACTGCTTTCTCTTTCTTCTACTATTAGGAAAAATGCATTTTGGCAGTTAAAATCTCCATCTCCATGTATCTCTCCCACTAGTTCAGCACTGCATCTTAGCGAAATTGAGTCTTAGAGTACACCAGTCTTACCCTGTCTGAATCTGCCAAGGTCAAACGCTCATGGTTCCACAGTGGCTTGAGGAACAACTGAAGAAATTCTTGCCCCTAGCAGTTTGTTATTCCCTGCAGCTGAAATTTATTCCTTCTCTTCTCTCTACACTCCTGCATTACTGGGCAGGTTGATTATCTGAGTGCTCTTAATCAGGTCTAGTGGCAGCCTCTGCACAGGGGTGCCATTAGGAACACTCAGAGCTCTGCCCTGAGATGGACATCTTCGTCACTGCATCCACAGTGGATACCCAGTGTTGATGACTTCTAGGTTTGTTCCCACTAACATCACAAGAGGTCACAGACCATACCCTGCTACAAAATGGATTTATCCCATCAGAACAGGGACTGTGACCTCAGTGTGAACAAGCAGCAACTTGTCTGGGCTGAATTTTCTGCTGATTATAACTGTGTCTGGGTTTTTTTCTGTAGACACCTTTGGTTCTTCCCCAGGTTCCTTTCGGCATCGATGAAGTTAGAGTTGCAGAGGTTGGTCTTGGTTTGGCAGATGTAAGGAAGAAGTTCTTTACTGTGAGAGCGGTGAGGGACTAGTGCAGGCTGCCCAAAGAAGTGGTAAATGCTCCATCCCTGGTAGTGTTCAAGGACATATTGGACAGAGCCTTGGGTGATACGGTCTAGTGTGAGGCATCCCTGCCCATGGCAGGGGGATTGGAACTGGATGATCTTAAGATCTGTTCCAACCCAAACCATTCTATGATGCTATGATTCTCAGTTGTATCACATCTTTGCACAGGAGGGAGGTCAGATCTCCCTGTATTCAAGTGAGAGCTTTTCTTTCCTAAACACTTCCTTTTCCAGAATAAAGCTAACCTGAGGATCTTACAGGTGCTGTGCTTTGCAGTGTGGGGGAGACAGGCGAGCTTAGGCCATGTGTGTGTCAGTCAGGAGCTGCTCTGCTAGCACATATAGGGATAGCTGAAGGTGAACACCTGCACCACACAATGAACTGCACACTTGCTGTTCTTAGAGCGATCCTTACTCGAGCTGAGCCAGCAGGCTAGACAGCAGCAGAGGCTGGAGCTGGCTGGGGGCACGGCTCCACCCCACAGCTGGCGGGCCTCACACCCCTGGGGCCTGGGGTGGCAGCCAGCACAGTAGCCAGTCCCCTTTTTTGGCACTCTCCTGAGTGCTAGGTTGGAATCCTGCCTTGCTGCTGCATTCAGGGCAGATGGAAGAAGAGAGTCCTTATTCCCGTTCCCCTGTGAACTTCATCTGTAGAGGAGGGCAGGATCCAAGCCTGTGCCTTGTGAGCCCAGCATGCTGCACAGGCATGCACTGATATTTCTTTACTGTGTGCTGACAGTTGGCTCGCTAACAATCCCAGCAGAGCTGCTAGCAGAAGAAATGTCATCAAAGTGAAATTGCTTGCAGTTTGTGTTCTGTTTTTTTCTAGAGTGTTTCTAAAGCTCTAGCCTGGTGAAATAAGATACCTGATTTGGGGGAGAGCAATGGGGGGAGATAGATATAAAGCAATCCCTTTCTCCTGTAAAGTTTTAATGTGGAAAATTCAGTTTTGCTTTGGAAATTTAAGTGTTGGAGATGTGTGTG